ACACCTTTCGCGCATGCGGGGTACCGATCGGGTTTCCGGTACGGATCGGGTAGCGACAGAGACTATTTAGTTACAGTCTCACTTGTATTGGACTGTACTTTGTACATGGACCAGCTAATGCATTTGTGCTCTCACATGCAGCTACTTAAGTCGTAACTGGATCATTCGAGGTCTGCAGTTCACTTGGCTGTCAAGGCGGCTGTTATCAGCTGATAAAAGACCTGGAGTGGAAATTTACGGGTCAACACCAGAAGACAGTCTTAGAAAAAGAACTACCAGAATTAAAAAGCTGCTTTTTTTTTTTAGGCCAGTCACCATTCCATTTGTTAAAAATAAATCAAATTTAAAGTTACATTTGCATTTATATATATTCTAGACATAGTCTTTCAGTTCTGCTCATTAAAGCTAGTTTAGATACTACTTCAGAATAAGTGCCTTAGTTACAGCCCTTCACATCTACTAAGACGACTGCACAGTGTTGAGCCTTGACATTAGGACTCTGCTAATACTTGGTTATAGAAAGACAAAACAAAGTGGATAAGACATTTTTCAAAGGATGCTTTTTTTAATGACGGAACACAAACTAATTCACGTGCCAGATAACAGAAGTAGCAGCCTGAACATGTCTAAATTTAAGGCAGCAACATTGAAAGATTCATAAATTCTTTGATCAAAAATTATATTCTCTATAGCAGGCTGATTAATAGCTTTCCCTCTTCTTAAAAATAATATGCTGGAATGAACAAGCAAAGGCTCTGTCACATAACAAATCAGAGCTGTTGGTTTCTTTATTATGACTGCTTAGCAGGCCAGGTCAGAAGTTCAGATATCATCTCCCTGATGGTCCTGAGGGGCATGCCACAGAGGACGCCCTGATGCTTTGCCCTCAGCTCAATCATAGCATCCACAATCCTCTGCCTCCCCACCTCTAGGTGGAGCTGTGTCAGCTCTGCTATCAGAGTATCAAAGCTGCCCATAGTGTTGTGGCACAAAGGTTCCCTTTGCTGTAGGTGAGATGCACACCACCTTCCTGTTCCTGATGCTGGGCTTAACAGGAGGCGGGGTTAGCAGCTGGAGAGAACAGAGGAACACACACATCAAATTTTATCAATGTCATTTTTCCATCAACAACAGCAATTTTGAGAACTGCCAATGAATTGTTAATCAGGGAGGTTTTTTTATTTACAAAAAAAAAAAAAAAAAAAAAGCATAGATCCAGTCCCAATCAAAAGTTTAAGACTTGAAAAATGGCAAACAAGCCAGCTGACAGAAAATGATGAATAGACATTTTTGCAAAG